TTATTATAATTGTAGAAATAATTAAAATCGCACTTGTAATCAGTTAAGTTGAGATATTTGTTCTCGCTGTAAAATTATAAACGTTTACATTATATTTGTGAAGAATCTCTCGTAACTCACGTAGATTTTACATTTTTATGATCGCGAATAAACGTGCTTTTAAATCGCCGATTTATCAAGACTTTTTTTTTACTTTCTTTCTAGGATCTTTAAAATCCCACTTGAATTTTCCAGTTTGCCCATCCTAAAATATTCAAAACTCATTTTATTCGCGCATCGTAGCCTGTTTTTCGATCCTATCATAGTCTTCACAGGTTCCCAGGGATCCCACGCGCTTTTGCCGAGGATAAATTTGCATCCTAGAATCTAAGAATTTCTTACGCTTGAGAGTTTGGGAAAAGAAACGATATTCCGGGACCGTCGAACTACCTATTCCATTCACGGTTCCCCGATCGATCCTAGATTTCCGAGACTTCTAGGAATCCTCTCTATCCGGTCTCGGCGTGGCGCGGCGTGGCGCGGCGCACCAGACTCATCGGCTGGCGATGCGTCGTCTCTAGAGTCTAGCGGTGCTTTCCTGCGCTATACAACGCTCGTGGTATAGGTCAGTGAAGTAGGAGCAGTTCCCCCACCGCGACCGCTCCTAGACAACGGGTCTACGATTGACTCATCTAGCCAGTCATACCGCGCGTAAACACGATCCGCTCCAGCTGTTTCTCGCGCGCGCTCTCCGAGGCCTCTCGCTACTACCGCCTTCCTCTCACTTTCTCCGTCTCTCTCTCCCACCTCGCTCCTCGAGCGCGCACCGCGCGCCGCGCGTTTCCTCGTGCGCTCTCCCGCGTGTGTTCTACCCCGCGCACACACACATATATATGCGCACTTCCTGAGAACAACGGTGCGTTCTCCGTATTTTTAGAGCCACGTCGAAAATCTTTCGCTCTCCTGCCGTTCTCCTGTTTTTCGTCCCCGTCTTCCCCTCTCTTTCCTTTCTTCGTTTTTGAATCTTGCTTCATTTCTTTTCGCGCTATTTATACCGCAGCCCTTACAGTTATCGAAACCTTGTCGCGTTACGTTACGTCGGGGTAAAAGACAGAAAAGTGTTTCAGTGGATTTATGTGTTGATGCAACATCTATCGAGAAATCGAATAAATTCTTCTCTATATTTGTGCGCCTTTTATTACGTATCATTGTGAATTTAGTACTTTCGCTTTACGTTCCTTGCTTCATTTGACCCGCAACTATTTTCTATTCAATTTCAGTGATTAAATTTCATTACTCTTAGTGGTTTTCGCTCGTGGCATACATAATAAAGCGCCTATTTCTGTCTATTTACCTCTTCCTTCTTGATTCGAGACGGTTTCGAGTAATTTTTAAATACCTTCGCATTAAACTGTTTTGACGTATCAATAAAACGTGACGTGTCGTATATAAACGCCGTTATTTCGAACGACCGCTTATTACTTCGCAGCTCCGTCACTCCCGGAGGAAATAATGCCGCTTCGGGTACCGCCAAATAAATATTCTACCGTTCTCCCTCTTCCTCTCGCTCGCTTCGTCCTCCCCCCCCTCCCCGCCCCGTCTCGTCGGTCCGCAAACCAGAAAACCTCGAATAGTGCCCGAGGAATCGTTCAACCGCGCGCGGGACTCCACGGAACTGCAACGCGCGACGTGAGAGAAGGATGCAGGCGCGAGAGAGGGAGACGGCGAAGGAAGATGGGATGGAGCGAGAGGGTTGACGCGACGACGAGGAAGGATAGGCACGGCAAGCGGCGACAGGGAGGGAGGGAGGGTTGCGAAGGGGGGCGGGCGGGAGGGAACGCGAGGGGGCCGGAGCCGGAGAACGAGTTCCGATTTTAGCGCAGTCGCGGCGGCCTCAGAACGAGCGGCGCTATTATGCACTAGTAGCTTGATGGCGTCACCCGTGCAACCTTGGCTCGGGTCAGTCCTCTATCATACTGCAGGCAGAGTTCCCCGATTCCCTCCTCCTCCTCCTCCTCCTCCCTCCCGCCTTCGTCTCGTGCGCCCCTCTCGCTCGCTCTCCCGCGCGCTCCACTCGCCGCGCTCCGACTCTCCGCTTTAACTCTCTTTCTCTCTGTCTCTCTCTCGCTCCTCGTCTCTTTATCTCGGTCCGTCTCCTCTTCCTCTCGACCCAGTGGCGTAAGGGGAAAAGAGCTTCTCACCGCCTCGTAGCAGGCAGCGCTTCGAAACTTTTGCTTTCTCTCAGCATAACGTTCATCGTCGCGTGCACGTAGATGCGAAATACTGAGAATTCTTTTTTCTTCTTTTTTCTCTCCTTCCCCCCCCCCCCCATATGAGAGCCACGCAGCGACACTGGTTAACTCATCTTCGGTATAAGGAACGCGAGATTCATCTCTCGAGGCAGCTTCGAAACTTTCGCTTTCTTTCGACATAACGCGGCGCGCTATTTGCGCGTACGTCACACGGCTAAGAATTTTTTATTTCTTTTTGGTATAAAACTCGTACTGACTGCTGCTTATTCACCGATGTAAAAGAGATGCTTTCGAAACCCTTACTTTTTGTCATAACGCGTGTACTCTGTCGCAAGTACGTCCAAATGTTGGTTTCTTTCTCAAACTGATTCTCCCACAAGTATCTGCCACGACGATGTGTGTTTGCCAAATTCCGAAACTTCAATTTCCTCCAATATCTCCTCGCGATAGTCCCTCCCAAAATAATAAACTTATCTTTCTCTCGCACAAAACCGATACGATTCCGGCCAACAAATTTCGCTCGAGACCAACAGACACGCAAGTGGATTTATTTAAGTAATAAAACTTTCTGGACTAAACTCGATTTTTAAAAAGCGACTTCTTATTGAATTTTCGTGAGAGCGCCGAAACTTGATGGATTCTCTGGGAGAGACCGCCCCGCTGCGTTTCAATGCGAAATTCGCTTCGAGGAGAAATCTCTTTAGGAGGCGGAACTCGCGGCGGATTCTCGCGCACGTCCGGCGTGTTTTCCTACGCCCATGGACGGCATGGACCAACGGCTCTATGCTCGCGGGCACAAACTCAGATCGTGGGCATTCGCGTCTGTACGATCGCATCGACGCGATCGATATTGCGCGGTATCCAATCCCCGATTAAACCACATGACGCATAGATCGCGAATTCGAGATAATTACCCGTTTCTTCCGTTTTCTTCGAGCGAGATCGGGGAAAAAAGATCCAGCGCTATATGTAGACCGGGGTGAGACCCGCGGAAGCAGGTGGCGGGCTATCGAGAGCATCTACTTGCGCCGATCACTCGGGATGATGGAAACGACGAAGGCAAATCGACGACGACGACGCGACAATGATGATGGGCGATAACGACGTTTTCCCTCCTTCGCCGCTTCGCGAACGACGGCTATTAATACTTGATTGCACGTTCAATTGCGACGTATACTCTTAAGGCACGCGGTGCGAAAACTAACGCGATAAACGCTGACACCGACCCTTCGCCGCGAGTCGAGATAATAACGTTACTTTGTGTCGTGGATTCTTTTGGGATGAGATTAGAGCGTGTCTCTTCAAGGCCGGACTCTCCTTCCTTTGTCGCGCGATGCCGAAATAATTTCTACGATGCAGCGATATTGATTCTTTTATATTGACGATAAAGTAGCTTCCACATGTTATTGTCCTACATGCCCCGAGACGTAATTAAACGCTTGTCACGTAGTGAGTAAAAAAGGCAAGTTAATTGTAAGATACAAAGTGATCATTACATTAAACTTGTAATCAAGCGTCCGTTATAAAAAGTCGGATAGATCATTATAAACTAGATATAGATAAAGTAAGAGACTAGATAAAAAAAACCTAGATATAAATAACATATAGATAAAGGTTCGATATAACGCAGAGATGATTCGCAAGACTTCTTCTAATTGCGCCCCTCTCTTTTTTCTCTTTTTCAGTATCCGACAGCTACAACAGTTACATAAACATGTACGGCGGGGGTGGGCAGTTTGCGACCCCCTGTACCCCGAGCCCGCCGCGAGGACCAGGCGGCGTGCCGACCAGCGTGATCCAGGCGGCTACCAGCTCGGTCTCGGACGATCTTTACCTTCTCGAGCTCAGCTTCCCGTCGCGCTCGAAGAAGAGCAAGCTGAAGAAGCCGCGGCAGGGCGGCGAGGGCGGGGCCGCGGTGAAGCGGAAGTCGCGCGAGGGTTCGACCACGTACCTGTGGGAATTCCTGCTCAAGCTGCTGCAGGACCACGAGTACTGTCCGCGCTACATCAAGTGGACGAATCGCGAGCGAGGCGTCTTCAAGCTCGTCGACAGCAAGGCGGTCTCGCGGCTCTGGGGCATACACAAGAACAAGCCGGACATGAACTACGAGACGATGGGTAGGGCGCTGCGCTATTACTATCAGCGCGGCATCCTGGCGAAGGTGGACGGCCAGCGGCTGGTCTACCAGTTCGTCGACGTGCCGAAGGACATCGTCGAGATCGATTGTACGGGCGCATGAGACAGGGAGTCGGCTCGTCCCGCGGGGCACGAGAGGGAGAGGAAAGAAGAACAGCAGCAGCAGCAACAACACGGCGTCTCGGCGCGGGCCCCGCGCGGACGTCGACCACCGCCGTTGTCGTTGACGTTGCCGTCGCTGATGCGGCGTCGCGGGCTCGTCGCGGGGCCTCATCCGCGCCAAGGGTCGCCGTTCAGCAGTTTTCTCCACCGAGACGCGCCGACCTGGCATACCCCTCAGATGTTGTAAAACGCGTTCTCTCTTTCGCTTTTTCGTTTTTTTCTCCCTCTCTTTCTCTCTTCCTGTCTGACTCTCCCTGCCTGCTTCTCGATCCCTCTTTGTCTCTCTATTTCCATCTTTCTCTCCGGCTTCGTTTGTTCCTTGTATTATACCTATGTAAATGTATATTAAGGCGCCGCGTGACGATGTCGTCGGAGGTGGTCCCGACCCAGTACCTCGTCCTTCTCCTGCGATCCTGCGTTTCTTTCTCGCGTGTCCGAGTGCCGCGTAGGATTGGGACAGGACGGCGCCCGACTCGTTGAAATTTGTACAAAATTTAGTTCTTAATGTGTCGAGAAAGATAAAACTAAAGATTTTATTCTGGTGTACCTTGCGGGAGGAACGCCGCGGACAAATTACTTAAGCCGCGAAGCACCGGAAAGCGAAAAATTGTATATTCGAAAGAGCGACAAATTATTTATTGTATATTAGACGTTTATGTATGTTACCTAAGAAAATTGTTACGCGCGATGATTCGCGCAGATGGAAAATGTATGGAAAACGGACGAAAGTTATAATAAAAACGAAACGAAATGAGGGCTGTGAAAAGGATTACGATACGGAGAGGAGAGGAAAGGAGAGGAGACGAGTTGTGTAGTGGAACGGGAAAGGATGAAGAAGCGTATCTCGAAGTTTCACGGAGCGAGCTCAGGGAGGGGTACACATTATATTTTTTTAAGTATAAGCGGAAGGGATTGGCCCTTCCGATTTGTGAGCTGAGGGTTCAACAACGCAAGGTGCTGGCTAATATACATGCATATACACATACACACACACACGCACACCGAGGTCCAAGAAAATTATTATTTAGCAACCTAGTGTTACTAATTCGTAAAGATTATCAATGCGGACGATTTTATCTCTGTATATAAATATAAAGAATACCTTTAGTAAAAAAATATATATATATATTATTGAACATTATATATATTATATAAATATATCTATTGTATGTTATGTAGTAAAAATGGAGCGAGATTTGATGTGTCTCTATGAGATTTTTGGCGTCACGGCGACACGCGTAGGGCGCTTGTAACCGTCTCGCGCGACGTCTCTCTTTCGAAACTTTCTATACTACTTGTTTGTTCTTATATACATTATATCGGGAACGAATTTTATACGTTCGGGAGTGCCGATTTTGCGCTCGAGCCTTCTAAAGTCGCAGTCATAACGCACATATATATACACGTATTATATCGCTGGTCTCGTATGCTCAGACTGATCGGAGACGTCGCACGTACAATACAGAGAAGCCCGCCCGACGCACGGGAAGCGTAATAAAAAAAAAATGCGTAACTCTAGATTAAAATTTAACTTATTGGCGCCCCGGGACGCGTGACGCGCGCGAGTGCAAGTGTATCCTATAGCTCTAAGTTTTTGTACATAAAGAGGAAATCGTCAAAAATATTATTTACGTTTAAGAAGAACGTAACGCTGGTTATCTCTATGCGATAATTATATCCGCGGGAGAAAGTAAAACGACGGAAGGTGGAAGGAAAGAATGGACGAGGAGCGTCTGGTTAGATCACGCGCGATGACTATACGCGGTCGGTCGCGAGGCGCGTACACAGGCCGATTTGTCGCATTACAGCCTCGGGATATAAAACCGTAAAAAGAAAACGAAATATACAGTACATTTGAACAGTGATCCAGTGCTGCCAATAATGCCTGTAAAACGGTCCCTTTGCACTTGTCGCTCGAGTCAACGCCCTTCGAGTCGAGCCATACACGGTGCTGTCAGATCGATCCGATGTTTTCGGGACACCAGATATATACCGATGATACAAAGCAAATTGCCTTCTCGTATTAACAAAGACGTGTTGCCTTCTAACAAAAAAAAAGATGCATATAAAAGTTCTAGCGATTTGTATCGTAAATGCCGTCACTTTGTCCAGGTACTTAAAAGCCCTTTACATATAACGCCCTAACATCGTTTTTTGTGACGAATTGAATTTTGTAATTTTATCAGCGAAAAGTTCTTTGGTACGTGGTGACTTTTATCGTACTTCGAATACAATGTATCGGCGGGAAATAGTAATAATATTAATGATAATATTAATGATAAAAAGAAGAAGATATATCAGAGTACAATGGACAAAAGTACCTATAGTATACCACTTCTATACATGATAACGGACACTTATAAACAATGAATGGACACTACAACAGAAATCCTATTTTTAGGTAAATTAAATTTACATATACATAACAATCCACTACACTACGAGATATTTTAACAAATAAGACTTTACTATAATAGAGATAAATACATAATTATTTACCTGTAAAATATATGAAAACACGATGGATTGACGTAAGGAACTCTAATGTAACGTTCTGTGATTCGTTGTTTGTAGGTGAAATTTAATAAAAAGATTATTGTATCATAATATATATACTCATGCGCTTTTACTTTATTCCCCATATACTCAATGAATATTTCGATTCTCAAATTAATTCTGTTTACGTTATTATAAAGAATATTAGAGAGTAAAATATTTACACAAAAATAAAATGCGGCATTTTATTATTATTTTATTAGATTTTATATGTTATATATTTTATTATTAACTAATAAAATGGTTGAAACGTTTGAAAATAACAAGTTTATCTGAGAGAGAGAAAGAGAGTGAGAATTTTTAAAATAAAAAACTTTCATATTGTAGATAATTACAATCTTTTATAATTTTTATAAATATTTCTTCCTTCGTAAGTAAAATATTATATACCTTATATCTCATTTTTTTTCTCTTTAAAATTCGATTTTTACAATTTTTATTTCGCTATTATCTCTGTGATCAATAAATGAACTACCACTGTCGATAAGTAAATTCTACCGTCGATAAGTTAATTGCCTATAACTGATAAAATTTACCGATAAAATGTTTTAATTTGCTGCAGACAAAAAACTTTCAGCGATTCACAGCCGTAGATGAAGTTATGATCATAAAACATTCCCGTAATTATACTTATACAAAAATGCAAAAAATAATCAATTTCTATATCGCGATGAATTGTGAACAGTAAAAGCGTAGAAAAGATATAGAAAGAATATATGACCTCGCGAGATTTGTTGTCCTCAAGTTCACCTTTTCTTCTCTTTTTGACCCGTTAATTGTGCCGCGTTCTTAAGTACAAATGTATATTATTATACATGTATTGATGATATGTTTACCGTAATGATGCAACGGTTATATATAACCCAATATAACCTGACCGACTAAAGACGGTCGGCTGTATCTTCGCTGTGATTGGTACGAAGATTGACCGAGTGCCAGTCAACTGAGTCAACGAGAGGTGCCGCCGGAACGTTCACAAGAATCACAAGTGCGCGGAGTGGGATGTGGGAGTACACCGAGACCGAGTGCAGAAGAATCCAATAGGAGTACTAGGAGCAGAACCGAGTAGAACGGAACGTCAAGTGTGGCAGACGAAATTGGGCGAGCTCGCGAGCTTGCGAGCGAATTCCACGGAAATCCTTTGGCCGTCGTTTCCGTATTATCGACGACACAATTCGTCGTCGCGCGCGCATTCGACGATCGGCCCGTCCCTGCCTGCGGGAGAGGCGTTCGCTCATCGATTCTGGCAGCGAATTGATCCTGCCACACCCCACTGTGGCCATTTTGGACGATAGTGTCGGTGAAAGCTATTTTAAAGATCGCAATCAAGCATGGATCAAATTACGCCGAAGGAGGTGAAGATCCTCGAGAATCCGGAGGACATCCAGGAGAGGCGAGAGCAGGTATTGGGACGCTATGCCAACTTCAAGTCGGAGGCGCGCAACAAGCGGGACAAGCTCGAGGACTCCCGTCGCTTTCAGGTATTTTCAGGCTTTCACGTATCCGAGTGCTCTTCTTTTCTCCCGTCTGCAATTTCGTTTGATGTTGCTGACCCTCGCGTTTTTCTTTCAGTACTTTAAGCGAGATGCGGACGAACTCGAAGGATGGATCTACGAGAAGCTCCAAGCGGCCTCCGATGAGAGTTACAAGGATCCTACTAATCTACAGGCGAAGATTCAGAAGCACCAGGCCTTTGAGGCAGAAGTCGCAGCTCATTCAAACGCCATCGTGCTGCTTGATAATACCGGCTCAGAAATGATAGCGCAACATCATTTCGCCAGCGATATCATTCGCAAGAGATTAGGTACGTTTAATTACTAGAGATGTCAATTTCTTTTCGAGATGGTTAGAGTATTATCAAAGTATGCTACCAAGTTTTTGGTGTATTACGAAAATCTAATATTAATAATATCTAATATTATATAATAATTCATTTTTAGTAAAAAGAAGCAATTCAAAGATCTAAAACTGACGTTTTATGAACAGTAATTTGTATGATCTTTTTCTCAAACTACCTATATAAAATATGTAAAATGTTTTAATATATTATTTTATTTTAAATATAAACTGAAAGTTAGATGATGTTTATTGTAATTGTGGAACATATACTGTACATCCAACAAACTGAATTTTGTTTTTTAACACAATATATTTAATTATTTAAAGAGGAACTGCATCGCCTGTGGGAGTTGCTGCTGTCCCGATTGGCTGACAAGGGTTTGAAGCTACAGCAGGCTTTAGTTCTCGTACAGTTCATTCGTCACTGCGACGAGGTGATGTTTTGGATTCACGACAAGGAGGCATTTGTAACGACCGATGAGTTTGGACACGACTTGGAGCACGTGGAGGTGCTCCAAAGAAAATTCGACGAATTCCAGAAGGATATGGCGAGTCAAGAGTACAGAGTTACGGAAGTGAACGAGCTGGCAGATAAGTTGCTGTTGGACGGGCATCCCGAACGCGACACCATTTTACGCAGGAAGGAAGAACTCAATGAATCCTGGCAGAGACTGAAACAACTGGCCACGCTGCGACAGGAGAAGCTCTTCGGAGCGCACGAGATCCAGAGATTCAATCGCGACGCTGACGAGACCATGACTTGGATCGCGGAGAAGGACGTTGTTTTATCGTCCGACGATTTCGGACGAGATCTTGCCAGCGTGCAAACGTTGCAACGAAAACACGAAGGTATCGAGCGCGACTTGGCTGCTCTGGAGGACAAGGTGTATACACTGGGCGCCGAAGCCGATCGTCTCGCTGCGATTCACGAAGCTGATCATTCCAAGCAGATTCAAGCTAAACGCGCCGAGATTTTACAGTTGTGGGAGAGCCTTACTGCAAAAGCGAAAGAGCGGCGACTCAAACTTGACGAATCTTATTATCTGCATCGTTTCTTAGCCGATTATCGCGACTTGGTGTCCTGGATGAACGATATGCGCGCCATTATTTCTGCAGACGAGCTAGCTAAAGATGTGGCCGGCGCCGAGGCCTTGGTCGACCGACATCAAGAACACAAGGGAGAAATCGATGCCAGAGCTGATAGCTTTGATGCAACCACATTGGCTGGTAATAAACTTCTAGAAAAGAAACATTACGCTGCCGAGGAAGTGGCACGGAAATTGAACTCTCTCGCCGACGACAAGTCATCTCTTTTAAACCTGTGGGAGAAGAGGCGTATCTTGTACGAGCAATGCGTCGATTTGCAACTATTCTATCGAGACACGGAACAGGCTGACGCGTGGATGGCTAAACAGGAAGCGTTTCTGGCTAACGAAGACTTGGGAGATTCCCTCGACAGTGTGGAGGCGCTTATTAAGAAACACGAGGACTTTGACAAATCTCTGGCGGCTCAAGAGGAGAAGATTAAAGTGCTTGATGAATTTGCTGGAAAGTTAATCGAGGGCGAACATTATGCTGCAGACGATGTGGCACAACGGCGGCAGCTGCTATTGGAAAGACGAGCTATTCTTCTCGATAAATCAGCTCAAAGACGCCGTCGCCTGGAGGATGCATACAAGCTGCAACAATTTGAGAGAGATTGCGACGAAACAAAAGGCTGGGTCAATGAGAAGCTCAAGTTTGCCACTGACGACAATTACTTGGATCCTACTAATCTGAACGGTAAAGTCCAGAAGCATCAGAATTTCGAGCAAGAATTAAACGCGAATAGGACGCGCATGGAGGAGATGGTAGCCACTGGCCAGGAATTGATCGAGAGCGGTCACTATGCTAGCGATCGCATACGCACTCGCTCGGATGAGATCGTGACACTGTGGGAGAGCTTAACGCGGGCCACCGAAAAGAAAGGCGCGAAATTACAGGAGGCTTCCCAGCAGCAGCAGTTCAACCGTACGGTAGAAGATATCGAATTGTGGCTCTCGGAGGTGGAGGGACAACTTATGTCGGAAGACTACGGTAAAGATCTAACCAGCGTCCAGAACTTGCAGAAGAAACATGCGCTCCTAGAAGCCGATGTAGGTTCTCACGCGGACAGAATCGATAGTATCGCTCAAGCGGCCGAGCAGTTTGTCACATCGGGCCACTTTGACGCCGACAACATCAAAGCTAAGCAGGATCAATTGCAAGGTAGATATTCCGCTCTGCAGCGTCCTATGAGTTTGAGGAAACAACGACTCTTGGACTCGCTCCAGGTACAGCAACTGTTTCGAGATATCGAAGACGAGGAAGCGTGGATTCGCGAGAAAGAGCCAGTCGCGGCATCCACGAATCGTGGTCGTGATTTGATCGGCGTGCAGAATCTGCAGAAGAAGCATCAGGCTGTTCTGGCGGAAATCAACAACCACGAGCCGAGAGTGGCCGCGGTTTGCCAGGCGGGTTCGACGATGTTGCAAGAGGGACACTTCGCGGCTGAGGAGATTAATCAGCGACTGGCGGCTTTGGACGAGCACTGGGGACAGCTGAAAGATAAGGCGCGGCAACGTAAAAATGACTTGGACGACTCTTTACAGGCGCATCAATATTTCGCCGATGCGAACGAGGCTGAATCATGGATGAAGGAGAAACGTCCTATAGTGATGAATGGTGATTACGGCAAGGATGAGGATAGTTCTGAGGCTCTTCTGAAGAAACACGAGGCCTTGGTTAGCGATCTAGAAGCGTTTGCGAGCACTATTGCGGTATTAAGAGATCAAGCTGCGGCGTGCAGACAGCAAGAGACACCCACGATCGACATCACCGGCAAGGAGTGTGTCGTGGCTCTGTACGATTACACTGAAAAGTCTCCCCGAGAGGTATCCATGAAGAAGGGTGATACTCTGACTCTGCTCAACTCCAACAACAAGGATTGGTGGAAGGTCGAGGTAAACGATCGTCAAGGTTTTGTACCGGCAGCATATGTGAAGCGCGTGGAACCTGAGGCGGGTCTCAGCGCGTCCCAACAGAACTTGGCTAGAGAGCAGAGCTCGATCGCCGCGCGACAAGCACAGATCCAGGCGCAATACGATGATCTCTTGCGTCTGGCGCGCGAACGTCAAAACAAACTTAATGAAACAGCCAAGGCTTACGTGCTGGTAAGAGAAGCCGCTGAGTTGGCTACTTGGATCAAGGACAAGGAGAATCACGCTCAGGTGCAGGACGTGGGCGAGGATCTGGAACAGGTGGAAGTTATGCAGAAGAAGTTCGATGACTTTCAAGCTGATCTTAAGGCGAACGAAGTGCGTTTGGCCGAGATGAATGAAATTGCTGTGCAGCTGATGAGCCTCGGACAGACTGAAGCGGCATTGAAGATTCAGACGCAAATTCAGGATCTGAACGAGAAGTGGACCAGCTTGCAAACGCTCACGGCAGAACGGGCCAGTCAGCTTGGTTCTGCTCACGAGGTGCAACGGTTCCATCGTGATGTCGATGAAACCAAAGATTGGATTCGCGAAAAGGATGCGGCGCTGAACAATGACGATCTGGGTAAGGATTTGCGCAGCGTTCAAGCTTTGCAGCGCAAGCACGAGGGTCTGGAGAGAGATCTGGCGGCTTTGGGAGACAAGATCAAGCAACTTGATGAGACGGCTAATCGCCTGATGCAGTCGCATCCAGAAACTGCCGAGCAAACATACGCTAAACAGAAGGAGATCAACGAAGAATGGACTCAGTTGACGGCTAAAGCTAATAGCAGAAAGGAGAAGCTTCTGGACTCGTACGATCTGCAACGCTTCCTCAGTGATTATCGCGATTTGATGGCCTGGATTAACTCGATGATGGGCCTAGTCGCTTCCGAAGAACTCGCATCGGACGTCACGGGTGCCGAGGCATTGCTCGAACGTCATCAGGTAAAAATAATCTCTATTATAACATGATCAAACACAGTCATCACAATCATCTTTCAACAAATCCTTCACCAAGTCATTTAAATTATAGAATCACAGAGCAGAGATAGATGCGCGATACGGCATACTTCCAGAGGTATAAGAACGTTTGAGCATGCATCAAGGAAGTCGCGGAGTTGCCTGGCGAGAGTTTAAAAAATTAATTTCGCGTAATTCGTCTCGTTGATGATTTATTTCATTTTTTTTTCTTTTTTTTTACGAGAAGAGGTTGATTGATCTTGTGCCGATGTTTTGCAATGAAAATACTGCCTATTAACAGTTTGAGTATTTTCAATGCTTATCGCGTAATTACTACCTTTCTGCTTGTCGTAGTATCTATTGCCGAATGGATTTGATCATACATAACAAACAAAGAGTTGCGTACTGGCATAAAACACTCGAAAACCGAATCATAATCCACTTTGTAAATTTCGTTTATTTTTTGTATAGGAGCACCGAATGGAGATAGATGCTAGAGCAGGTACTTTCCAGGCGTTCGAATTGTTCGGCCAACAGCTGTTGCAATCCAGCCATTACGCCAGCGTGGAGATACTGGAGAAACTCGAATCTATGGCTGAAGCTCGACAAGAGCTAGAGAAAGCTTGGATCCAACGACGCATGCAACTCGATCAGAATCTCGAATTGCAGTTGTTCTGCAGGGATTGCGAGCAGGCGGAAAATTGGATGAGCGCGCGGGAGGCTTTCCTCAGCAGCGCAGACGCGGTTGACAGCAGTGACAATGTCGAGGCTCTCATCAAGAAGCACGAAGATTTTGATAAAGCAATCAACGCTCACGAAGAGAAGATCGCTACCTTACAGACTCTGGCCGATCAACTGATCGCTGCGGAACATTATGCCGCTAAACCTATCGACGAAAGACGATGTCAAGTGTTGGATCGCTGGCGACACTTGAAGGACGCTCTTATTGAGAAGCGCTCGAAGCTGGGCGAGTCTCAGACTCTGCAGCAGTTCTCTCGAGATGCGGACGAGATGGAAAATTGGATCGCCGAGAAACTTCAGCTAGCAACTGAGGAGAATTACAAGGATCCCGCCAACATACAGTCGAAGCATCAGAAACATCAGGCTTTCGAAGCTGAATTAGCGGCCAATGCGGACCGAATTCAATCGGTACTCGCTATGGGAGGCAATTTAATCGAAAAGCATCAATGTGCTGGCTCGGAGGATGCAGTTCAAAAAAGATTGGCGTCTATCGCTGACCAGTGGGAATACCTTACGCAAAAGACCACAGAGAAGTCCATGAAGCTGAAGGAAGCTAACAAACAGCGTACCTATATCGCTGCCGTGAAGGATCTTGATTTCTGGCTCGGCGAAGTCGAGAGTTTGCTGACATCCGAAGACGCCGGCAAGGACTTGGCTTCGGTGCAAAATCTTATGAAGAAACATCAACTTGTTGAGGCAGATATACAGGCGCACGAAGAAAGAATCAAGGACATGAATGCACAGGCTGATTCGCTGATCGAGAGCGGCCAGTTCGATGCTGCTGGTATTCAAGAGAAACGTCAGAGCATAAATGAACGTTATGAGCGAATCAGGAATCTAGCGGCGCACAGACAGGCGAGACTCAACGAGGCTAATACTTTGCATCAGTTCTTCCGCGATATTGCTGACGAAGAGTCTTGGATCAAGGAGAAGAAGCTTCTTGTCGGATCGGATGATTATGGTCGTGACCTTACGGGTGTGCAGAACTTGAAGAAGAAGCACAAGAGATTGGAGGCCGAACTTGGTAGTCACGAACCTGCTATCCAAGCTGTCCAGGAGGCAGGAGAGAAATTGATGGACGTTTCCAATCTAGGAGTACCCGAAATCGAACAGCGTCTGAAGCTTCTTAATCAGGCGTGGGCTGAATTGAAGCAATTAGCTGCCACTAGGGGACAGAAGTTGGATGAATCCTTAACGTATCAACAGTTCCTCGCCAAGGTCGAAGAGGAGGAAGCCTGGATTACGGAAAAGCAGCAGTTACTCTCTGTCGAAGATTACGGCGATACAATGGCCGCTGTGCAAGGCCTTTTGAAGAAGCACGATGCGTTCGAAACCGATTTCGCGGCTCACGGTGAACGCTGCAAGGACATCTGCGAGGCCGGCGAGACATTGATTAAAGCTGGCAATCATCGAGCAGATGCTATCAGTCAAAGATGCGCGCAATTGCGCAACAAATTGGAGCAACTCGGAGCTCTCGCGGCCCGCAGGAAGACACGACTGAACGACAATTCGGCGTACTTGCAGTTCATGTGGAAGGCCGATGTAGTCGAATCATGGATCGCTGATAAAGAGACTCACGTACGTTCCGAGGAATTTGGTCGAGATTTATCTACCGTACAGACATTGCTCACGAAACAGGAGACCTTCGACGCTGGCTTGCATGCCTTTGAACACGAGGGTATTCAGAATATCACCTCATTGAAAGAAATGCTCGTTGATTCCGGACACGATCAGACACCCAGCATTCAGAAACGTCATGCCGATGTCATCACTCGTTGGCAGAAACTTCTGGCCGATTCAGATTCGAGGAAACAACGTCTGTTGAGAATGCAGGATCAATTCAGGCAGATCGAAGAGCTCTATCTAACGTTCGCGAAGAAAGCGTCTGCTTTCAACTCTTGGTTCGAGAATGCCGAAGAGGATCTGACAGATCCCGTGCGTTGTAATAGTATCGAAGAGATTCGTGCTCTTCGCGAGGCACACGCACAGTTCCAAGCTAGCTTATCTTCGGCCGAAGCCGACTTCCAAGCCCTGGCTGCTCTTGACAGGCAAATCAAGAGCTTCAACGTAGGACCAAATCCATACACATGGTTCACGATGGAAGCTTTGGAAGATACTTGGAAGAACTTACAGAAGATAATTAAGGAGCGCGATGTTGAACTTGCGAAAGAAGCACAGCGGCAGGAGGAGAATGATAAATTGCGTAAGGAATTCGCCAAGCACGCTAATGCCTTCCATCAGTGGCTTGCGGAAACAAGGTTTGCATCAGACATGAAAGAATTATTTAATCACCTAGTTGTTTAATTAGGAATAAAAATGCAAATAATTAATTTTTTTTATAGAACATCTATGATGGAAGGATCTGGATCTTTAGAACAGCAACTGGAAGCTACAAAGGTTTGTATAATTGAAACAGATGCATTTATCATAAGGATAATTTATGCAAGATATATATTCATTACATAATTATATGTTATACATAAATTATATTTCAAATTTACAGCGAAAAACTCAAGAAGTGCGCGCACGTCGTCAAGACCTGAAGAAGATCGAAGATCTGGGAGCTATTCTAGAGGAACATCTAATTCTCGACAACCGTTACACAGAACACAGTACCGTAGGATTGGCACAACAATGGGATCAGTTGGATCAGTTAGGAATGCGCATGCAACACAATTTAGAACAGCAGATTCAAGCGCGAAACCAGTCCGGTGTATCTGAAGACGCACTAAAGGAATTCTCCATGATGTTCAAGCACTTTGACAAGGACAAGAGTGGCCGTCTGAATCATCAAGAATTTAAATCGTGCCTGAGAGCTTTGGGCTATGACCTTCCTATGATGGAAGAAGGACAGCCCGATCCGGAATTCGAGAACATATTAGGTTTTGTTGATTTTAATTCTTGTGTTATTTCCGATTACATTATTTCGAACCATCTATTTTTAACACGATATTATTATTCGCAGACATCGTGGATCCTAATAGAGACGGCTATGTATCGCTTCAAGAATACATGGCGTTTATGATCAGCAAGGAAACGGAGAACGTGCAGAGCTCGGAGGAAATAGAGAACGCTTTCCGAGCAATCACTGCAGCAGATCGGCCGTACGTCACAAAGGAGGAATTATATGCTGTAAGTATTGCAAATACTATTGAATATTCAGAAATATAAGTTACAATGTTCCTACAATCACGAAGAATGCAATTTATATTCGTTAATCGTTTTTTTTTTCTTTTTCAGAACCTCACAAAGGAGATGGCCGATTATTGCGTTGCCCGTATGAAACCTTATGTAGATCCCAAGTCGGAACGACCGATAACAGCTGCGTTGGATTATATAGAATTTACGCGTACTCTTTTCCAGAATTAATTATGGATTCCCATACATATGCATATTATATTATTTTTCCAAGCTTATTAAACTATAATTGCATAAAGAGCACAAGGCGCTGCTATGTTTATCTTTAAAAACTATGCTTGATTGATATTTCTATTAATAACTAGAGTTATCTAGAGGATTTACAAAAATTAAGATTTTCACCTAAACTGGTTGATAGAGAATACATATAAAGAATATATTTGTGTTGTGTATGTTAGAATGCTTTTCCTAACGTATATATTCTTATATGCTTTTGATATATCGCATTATTTAATCTTCAAATCCTAATCTTTAAAATATTAAATTCTATATCAACTAGTTCTTTGAAACTCTTTCACGTTGTTCTTCGAAATAAATGCATTTAATATATTATATTAAATTTTATTCAATAAATCTATAAAACATATATGGCGTATTTTTTAATTCTTGCGTATGAGATTGCGTAAATTTTCTTATGGGTAATTAAATGGGTAATATTTTTTCTTTTATCTTATTTAGTAAGCATATATGGAAAATAATATGAAATAAATATTGCATAAATCACGTTGCATTTTATTGAGCAACTGAATGTACAACCATTTGAGACTTCTCTTGAATTATTTGTTCAGCACGGTACACTTTCCAGGATATTAAAAAGTCTCTAGCCATTTTGAACAAAGTATAGTAATGTATAACTAATAATAATATCGTCGACAGTATTTGATACCATTCGGTCACGCCTAATAAAATAAATAATTGTATGTTCACCAACAATAACTGCAATGCCAGTATCAGACTTAGGAGCGTTACTCGGTTATTAAATACACTCTGTGGGACATATAATAATTAGTGTCGAGTCTAATAATTTCTTGTTATTCGATAAAGTGAAATTACGTACATAAAATTTAGAGTGAAATAGATTACCCGGTTCCGCTGCTGTGCACAAACCTTCAGAACGATAAATTTCTCGATTGTGCCTTACAATCGACCCGTGAGGCCACAATACCGCATCATTCCACGGTTGGGCATAAATGTGATTATTGCGATTTTCTACTTTGACCCATCGGCCCAAATGCATCGCTGCTCTATGTAGTTCGTCGCAATATCTAAAAGTTGATTACATATTTTAATGATTATGGCAGACAGTTCTTATACTACAGTTCTTATATTACAAAGGAATATACTCGCCTAAAGGGATAAACCTGAGCAAAGTACGCACATATCCTTCCGAGCCAAAATAAGATTACATGCTGTACCACCCATAATTCATTATAATGTAAATGCGGAGGTACAAAAATAATAGGCGCGACCCCACAGACGTACGCGCTAATGGAAGACGAAAATAAAGCTCGTCTTAATCGTTGGTTAAAATCGGTTCTCAAAGTGGACACTTCTGCTCTAATGGCCGATGCGTTTAATGAGCAATTGTGCAAAGGTTTGTCTGCATATCAGAAAAGTGATAACACACCATTAGACTTTAGAAATGAACACTACGAATAAATAAGATACAATCGATATGTATGATAATACGTACCTAATACATACTTCGTTTTCTGCTCTTCTTTTCCCCATATATCAAGAAATATATCGTTGAAGAAAAACAGTGTTGTTTTTACTCCAAACATAAAATACACTGATAAACTTCTGGAACAAATGGATGTCATAAGCGATTTAGTCTTTTAATTTTTATTGCAGAGAATGTATACATGTAGTATATCATTTAATATATATTTAAATGTACTTTTACATAATAAAGAGATACTCACGGCAAAAATAAATAAATAATTTTCATAGGGTCATATCTCTCAGTCATATGATAGATGCACCAGCTTAGCACACTCTGTACAACAACTCCTAGAGACAACCTGAAATAAAAATTACACAAATGTTAAAGTATCCTGATATTATTATAAACCTCATGAGTTACTGTGTGGTAAATCACATACAATAAGGTTTGCTAATAACCTTATAATGTTTCGGATCACCAATTTTGCGGGTACTGACCGAACTGGCAATGAAATATCAATGATCTTACGTAATAACTTGTAAAGGAATCTATATGCCACCATAGTAAAAATAAATACAAGTAGGTAAGGATCTATCAGATAGAAGTTCTGAAACAGGAAAGAAGACAACTTGGAGAACTCTTTACAATTTTTCTCAATACAATATAATGATCTTCTTTGAAATTACAAACATAAATCTAGTTTCATATGTTTAATACAAATACAATATACCATACTATAACCATTGTAGGAATTTGGTAGCCACCACACGGTTCTGTATAGATTGAGCAGTTGCAGACAAGCCGCAATGATCGAGACGATCAAGGATAAAGCTTCGAAGTTCAACTGCCTGTCGACTGGTACCGCGGGTATAGGAATGTGCTTCGGTGCCAGAGATCGTCCGCTGTAAATCTCGTCAAGTCTTTTATCGTCCGCGCCATTAGCACTCGCTCTTTCTCCGCTGTTGCTTCTTCCATTAGTATTGATAGAACTAACGTTACTACCACCGGATCTGGCAGTCGGTCCAGTCCGATTGACAGTGTTTCGCCTGCCTCCAGGCATATTTTACTTATGCATTCATACGAGAGATACGAGTTGCCTTTATTCCAATAATTTTTGCGACACGTGACGGATTGTTGAACAAATCAACATACGTATTCCACGTAACATAACAAATACGCGTCGTAGATCGTAGACAATTTTTTAGCAGCTTCTCAGGAAAAGTAGCCTCAAGTATATCGAGAATAGCATTTGGTTCAAACGCTATTTTTCTGACACATCGATTATGTCATTGTAAACAAAAACGAAGAGGAATGTGATCAAATGTGACGCAACACGATGCAAGAACACACTGTTATCAGCATTTAATCAAGACACAGACCAATTTTCTTCGTCCCTACTTTTTGTAAACAAGTTGTGTGCTCGTTGAGATCAATTATGAGAAGACTGTCGTGTCGTCAGATGTCAGATCAACAAATGCTTTGCTAGGCCGTACAGTAGCGCCACACATCCACTTTCAGGAATCGGAACTACGAGTCACATCCACTTTTCGACACTGTCGATGAATTTGGTTCATGTCCGTGCTATTACATCCACTTTTCGATATTGTCGGTCTTTGGTGGTTCGTGTCCGTGCTATTTCCACGCGCAGCAAGGATTGCGTCAGATTCTGCCTCTCTCCTATTAGACACGATCTTTTCGATAGGCGACGCTTTACAAAAAATCATCGAGTCACCGTTAACGTGACGCAGGAGATGCTGGAGTTGGAAGACAGAGTAGAGTCAAATAAAGATGAATTAGGAACATTTTTACATTATCTTGCCCTCCCTTCCACGAACATATATACTTTACAGAATTAATTAGATAATAGTTTGTACAGTTACAAGTTCAAGGTACCAGAACACTTCAACAATATCAGAAATATTAATATATTCTTCAATATTAATATACACAATCGTAAAAGATAACTTTTGGATTTGTAGAATTTCAATCTTAATTACAATTATGCCATTTAACTTTTAATTATCTAACTCCTTAATTAATAATTAACATTATTATTACACAATTAATTCAGAGAAACTTAAATTGGGAGTGACATGTGAGAGCAGTCGACTTGTAGCGGACGGGTCCCAGGTTCAGTTCTTCATGTATGTTCGGGTTTTTACACAGATGATGAACATCTTTTTACTTTTCATCAATATGTACATTTTTATTTGAGATTGGCTCGCTAGATAAATTAACACGTTGACTGCCATGATGATAGGGTGCATTCGGGGAGCACGCTATTAGCACAATTATCGTCCAAAACTGTTCGAGGAGACGCTTTGTGGCGCTGTGATATACGATGATGACGTCACTGTAAAGGCAGCGTGACGTCATCACTCGCGCTATTTTCGCTATTATTTTCGAGGTGAGGCATGAAATACTATTGGCGCTTAAGCTGCGTTCGGGGAGCTTGCTATCGCTGTCGCGCTATTGGCTCTTCGAACGAAGTTCATAGCGTTTGCGTTTATAGCGTTAATAGCGTCTCCCCGAATGCACCCATAGTAGTCTATCTTCCGTGACCAATGCCTAACTTTTCAGTGTTATCCTGACACTATCGAACATTTTTAAAACTTATAAAAACATCTTTTGTTATGTATGTCATTTATATGGACACACTATTTCATATAAAATCCCAACATACATAGCTTAATAACAATATAAAGTAAAAAATGTGTTATTCAACATAGTAACTGCACGATGCAGCCTTGTAATCATATTACACAGTATTTCATTATATCCCCATGAAAACTTTCTACGGTATTATATAATATTCTACTGCGTGGTACACGGAATAAACCCGGGCAGACAACGCGTTAAAAAACATTAGTTATGTGTTTAAAATTATAAAAATATACAACAAGTCATCGCTTTTCGCATTTAATAGAATAAATAAATTCTGTTATTTCGTAACTATTGAGGATGCAAACAAGCTCGTGTGCTTGTCGATCGTATTACGTGTCCTTCCCAGACTTGAGAATCGTTACAATTTCTTCCAATAAACTGTTTCTTATCTCTCTCTGAGTATTGGCCTTCTCTCTATGTTCCTCCGCGCGTGCAAATTCTTCCTTCTGCATATCCCGCATCTCCATGCATACTTGCAAGACTCCATTTCGCATATAATTAGAATTTTTATTCTTGTTGTCCATCCTGCTGATTAAATTTCTTAATAAACGCTGACAGCTCTGCAGATTCTCAATTATTTTCACGTTCTGAGCTTCCAATCTGGCATTATGCTGAGTGGCTTTCAAATTATGTGCCGTCTCGGTACCACTGCTTTTGGCAATCATCATGGATCTGTAAGAAATATTTGAATTAATAGTGATAATAGTTAATCAGTAAATAATTTTATACCCTGATAAGTTACAACTTACCCTGCCTTTGAGTCATCGTCACCATTCATTTCCGTGTCATATAAATCAGACGAAAAGATTTCGTCCAGGTCTCTGTAAGCACATTTAACATGTGAATCGACGATTAGGTATCAACCTGTAGAAATTTAGAAACAAACTCACTGTTCGTAACTGCAGATGTACTTTCCCCTGCCGTTTCTCCTGTTGTGTATCATCATGTTCTTGTAAGCACGTTTGAGCGTTTTGTATCTGTTTTCCACTTGCAGAGGCGATACACTGAAGCCGTTCTCCATCAAATTTTTGGCTATCTCCTGATACGCCTTCTTCATGTTTTTCAGTTTCCGATTCCTCACCAATTCTTTCTTCTCTTTATACTCCTTCAGAAAAATCTTTGTCGAGGCGTCGCACCAAGGGAAAATTGCATTCCCACCTTTACTCGTCGTTGGTGTGCCGGCCTTATCAGGCTCCTTGGACTTGTCTGCCTGTTTCTCACTCTCAGAATCATTATCAGCCATCTCCCATGGAACGACATCGATGGTTACATCTTTGCCGTTGACATTGAAGCACATTTGTTCCGACTTGTCGTCAATCTCCGATATATGAAGTTGGAAAACCACATTTTCCTCTGTAAACATATACACGTTATTAATGTTTGTCTACAAGTCTACTTTCGTCTACTTTTGTATTGACATTACTTATTGCTCACAGACATTATATAGCAAAAGAAACGATGAGCGTTGTGCAATAGAAAAGTAGAATATGTCATATACGTGTCATATGATCCATCGTGATTGCTCTATTACCTTTACCATTACCTTCGCATGTGATCGTAACAAACCCATTGCTGTCTATGATCACCTTGCCCTCTTCGTCGCGATTAAAGCAGCCTTGCATTTTCGCCGACGGAACGACGCCACGAAGTCGCTGAGCGTACAACCGTGGGGCTCGGTCGGCCCAAGGCTTTTTCCTCACCTGCAATCCCAGCCGAATCGGCAAAAGCCTTTTCTCTCGTCGCACGACGCGTTATCTTATTTTCGCGCTTTATTCCGTTGCACCTTTTGCACCTCCGATATTCGGCTGCAGAAAGTGTAAGAAGGTGCAGCGATTGCAAATATATCGCGGAGGCTACGTCGCGTCGGACGAGAACGTACGTGTACTCTGCGATGGCTGCTGCGACGAGGAAACGGGACCCAGCCGACCCAGGCGCGAGAAGGGAGAAGCGGGAGAAGAAGAAACGCTTGCGATGCGATCCCCTTCGAGGCTCTTATCGCGTTTCGTCGAGCGAACGGTGGCGCCATCGAAAGTTACCGGCCGCGCGGTTTCGGCCAGTAAAGTAGGTCGCGACTTTACGGGAATACCTGAAATATCGATGTCGTACATACATGTTGTCTGACGTCATCGTTATAGCGCTGGTTAGCGCTGCAGATCCAGCGATTGCCGCTCTCGCTCTTCCTTCTTCCTTCTCTCAGTTCAGTCAGTTTTATTTTCCAAGTATAGGTGGCGTTTGAATATTTAATAAAAAAAATGGCTTTGGGACAAAGGGATTGGAGTCATTAGAGATCCCTGTCAGCAATGTGGGCTGACAAATAAGTCTCGCACTATCGTACATATTGAGTAGGAAGCGTGTGTCAATTATGACACTTTTATTCCTCAAGCTCACCGGAACTAGGAGTATTCGCGACTGATATTTCCCCAGCCGAGGCCCTTGTTGACGATTGTTCAAATGAAAATGTTGGTGTGCCGCGATTATATGACTTTAACGCATCAAACACTAGTCGTAATTAGTAGCAAATGGAGATGCTCATATTACTGTGGTGCGCTGACATGAATATTAATGTTTCCTGCTTCCTGAATCTGTCAATGTTTTACAGATGTTTAGTCCGATACAAATAAAGCACGAATGTACAACTGTAGAGGATGCAAATGCCAGTAATAGGATTAACAGTTCAGACAGTTCCTTATATCCTTTTATCAATCAGGATGTTGAGTACAAGCACCGTCAGTTATCTCAGTTTTGGGAGCAGACGCAGTTGTCGAACGAGATACCTCCGAAGAACGAGATGCATGATCAACAAGCCATGTTCCAGGCGGAGGTAACTATATATTGTTATGCGGGCAACTTTCATTTAACAATTTTGACAAGCAACCTTACTATATTGAATTTTATACATTTCCGTTTTATAGGAAGCTGGGAGCTTGTCATATATGAAGGATTACGTACAAAACGGTGTATTCTATCCAGCTGATCAAGAGGATGGCAACGATCAAATGCAGACGAATAACCAGTGTGACCAGAGTACAAGCAATGTTGGCATAGTACAAGAAAACAAATCGCAAGCTTTGCAGAATGTAGGAGACATCAGTCAGACATTAACAGTGGAATCGCTTGTGAAAACTCATCGTATTGGGAGACCATCTAAAAGTTCCACGGAGCCTGGTACAGGAAAAAAGTTAAAATGTATATGTGAGATTTGTTTCAAGGAATTTGGACACAAAAGCAATTTATTTATACATATGAGAACACACAATGGGGAGAGGCCATATAAATGCAGTCAATGTGAAAAGTGTTTTACGCACAGTGGGAACCTGGCTATACACATGAGAACGCATTCGGGTGAACGCCCGTACGGTTGTCAGATATGCGGAAAAATGTTTAGCCATAGTGGAAATCTCTCCACTCACTTAAGAACTCACTCAGGCGTAAAGCCCTACAAATGTAACGTGTGTGGTAAAGAATTTAGGCACAGCGGTAACTTATCGATACACGAGAGGATACATTCCGGTATTAAACCATTTCAATGTAAAATTTGTGGGAAGGAGTTTTATCACAGCGGCAATTTAACGACTCATATGAAGAAACATCCTGTAAATACAGACACAAATGCAACTGACTGTGAAAACAATCAAAAGCATATACTGCATACTGGCACAGATGTTAATACTACCGCTTCTTCAAATTATTTAAATAATGTGTCTTTAACGCTCAATGATGACATTAAATTAATCCATAATGCTAGTAATGTGGTTCCTATAAAGAATGAAAGTACAGAAGATACTGTATTAAACACTATGGGAAGATTAACATCTTCTTCTAGTTGAAGGTATACACGATTATTATTAAGCAGGATGAGTTATATAATTTGTTACAAGTTGATATTACTGTCAAAGACACTAACCAAAAAATTCTTGATGCCTTAATAATAAGAAAGTATGCATTATCTGTTGTATCCAATTTCTTTAAAAATGTAAAATTAATTTTTTAGGCTTTAAGAGGTTTTGTTGAACTATTATCCAAAGTTTTTTAATAATTAGATTGATAGATATTGATTTGTAATAAGTTACAAATAACATCCTGCATATTACGGATTTTTTTAAATATTATGTTTTTAGTATTTTTTTATTCAATGCTCTTGCAAAAGAGAAATTTTTACAGAGGCAAAGGCAACGAATAGTTTTTCATTTTCAAACCGTTATTACATGATAGTCTTCCTGAATTTTAAATGTAACATTATTACATAAAACATTTTACGTAGACTTATTTAAGATCAAGTGGTATATGATTATAAATGATCTGTGATGATTTTGAGTTACTAAAATAGGATATCAAAGGACAGTAAAACAATACTTTCATAAAAAAATTTCCACCATTTATTTATATAAATAATTAACATATTCATTATTTCTTGTTCAATTATTTTTGTTTATACAAGTACTTTTTATAATCAATAATATCAGACTTAAATAGCCCTTGAGTTAAATAAGTAAATTATTATAATAATTATTAGGATATATATTTTGACTATATAAAGCATGTATAAAAATAACAAAAATATAGTATAAATCTTGTTTTGAGCTCATATGTGCAATTTGCTATCTAATAAGTGATAAATTGCTCCTTAAAACTTTTGTTACCTTTTATATTTATTTCTTATTGTTATGAAGTTTATTTTAATAAATTTGCTAATTTATTAATATAAACTTCTTTTTAATTTTTTACATTGCTTATACAGCAGGTATTGATCGAGTGATAATTTGCATAAACGATATGTTTAAAAACTATGTAACTTTTGATCGCATATACGAATATAAAGTTTCAAATCTATGCAACATTTCTAAACATTTTTATGTAGTAATGTAGTAATTTAATAATAAATTTTTAAACAAACTAATAAACCTTGCTTTTAATAATTTCTTTACATAGTTATAAGTATATATATACAATTTAATTTAAATTATATAATTATCTATCAAATTTGAGCTTCAAATATACATATCATAATAATGTGTCAACATATACCGTGTGAGATTTTTATTATACTATTATTATATTCATATATCGTTTAACGCATTATAATTTATAATTACTTTATACTAGAAATGGATTAAATTTTTAAAAAGAAGAACTTGATTTCAATATGTTACTGTATCGTCAGAAGATTAATACTTTAGTGTCTTGTCACGTAATTATTAGCTTATTTATATTAGATAAAAGTATGGAATGTTATCTGTTATAAAGTCATTGGTGTAGACTAGGGTAACTACAATGTTAACATTTATAAACTTGATTTTAGTAAAAAAAAATCTCTGAGTTTTGTTATACTGTTCATTTTTATTAAGCAAAATAATTGCTTAATAAAACATGTATGCAATTAACGTACGACCTTCAAAGGGACAGTCATGTTCCGCGGCAGACGGGCCGCAAGACTTTCTGCTACGTTTTCAGAAAGTTCATGCCAAATATATTTCCCGATTATAGGTACGTCTTCCAATGGTAATTTGAAGGATACCAGTAATGTTAAGCACAGACCATCTCCTCCTTGTCCACTGCTAAATTCTACAGACAATAAACCGTGTGGCTTATGCTGTGCTACATCGTTTCCAAATATTTCCTAAGGAAATGAATAAATGAATATATTCCATATTAAACATATTTTTATCTGTTTAATTGAGGAATAATTTATGTAATTGTTTCTGTACGTAACAATAGTGGATTTTCTTAATTTTCATAAAATTTTTTATTGTAAAATACATGCAATATATGTATATTGCATGTATATCTATTTAATTCATATACATAATATTTATGTATTCGTGAAGTATAATACTCTTCTAATATCTTACCGTCATAAAGCTATGCAGAGTTGACAGTAAACTGCGATTTGGATTAAGTTCACAAATTGGCGGATTATATCGTTCGGTATCAGATATAAGCACATGTAATCTGTTCCTATTAACAAGAGATACATAAAAATTGTATTACCTCGTTAATTTAAATATAATTACATCATAAATATAAGATAATTATAATTCTATTGGATATCGTATACAACATAATACTCACGTTGCCCTTTTTTTAGATGTGACTATTAATCTCAGCGATAGTTTTGCATGTGGTTTGGACACGGGCATCAAGCGAGGATGTTGCGGAACGGTATTATTCGAAACGTAACTTTTGCCTCGGTCCAGGAGGTATATGATATCGTTAGACCTTAATGGCAAGTCATTGATGTTTCGTACCCAGCACGCTTGTAGCGATTCCTCATTTGCCTGATCGGGTGTCTTCAGAGTACCGCCGACTATATCCCCGGTGAACACAAAGCGAAACCATGTACCATTGGCACATTCTACCAGTATCAGAGTTGACGGCTCTATCACCAGACCCGTCTCTTCCAGGACTTCCCTCTTAACAGCGCTTATGAGATTCTCATTCTTCTCCACTCTACCGGCTGGCAAGTACCACTTTCCGGTACAAGAAGCCTTCGCCTCTTGCATCATTAACACCTCGCCTTGGTCATTTATGACAACGGCGGCGACTACGTACGTCACCGTTTTCAAGCAAATGGGAATGTGTGCTGTTAGTTGACCTGATTTCGCACCTGCAACATACATTGACCCAGTCGTATCAAGTCTTTCTCTTTACGAGAGAAAGAGAGAATAAAAAAAGAAAAAGATTCGAGGCCTCGCAAAAACATTACGAAAACGAATGCCGTGCGAAGGTGCCCCGACATACCTGTCGTGTCACTCACGAGAGTATGTACATTGCATATGTCATCGTTTTCCAGCGCTTGTCCGGCAAGCAGTGATTGAACTTGATTCTCTACAAGATCTGACATGTTTTATACATATATATGTATATATGTGTACAATTATACACACACACACACAGGCTGAAAAACTGTATCACGTGTACGGAATACGGAACGATGTGCGATTACAAATTTATATCAAATTGCACAATTTTACGCGGTCAGTGATAAGTAGCGTGAAAGTGACAGCTAGTAAACGCGCGGAAAGGCGCGTCGAGATATGTCAAGATGTGCGGCTTTAGTTGCGCCTCTACTACTGCTCGTATGCCGCACACATTTGTATGCGAAATTCCCTATGCGAAATGTTGCGGAGATGCAAAATTTGAGAGGCATCTTGCGTCTTCACTGTCTTCAGCCTTTCAGTGGGCCGCAAAGGACGCAGAATCAGAAACGATAATAGCTCTCCTTTGCGGATGTCACGCAAATACCGTCAAGCCTGTGAACGATGTTTCGAATAAATCAGCGTTTACATAAATTAACAGCATTTGTTTACAAAGTTTTTGCTAAAAATAGACGAAGCTTGCAGTGATACCGATAACGCAATACCGAACACGTTATCAGTGTTATCACCGAGGATTCGTTGTTTACTGTTTGAGAAGATTCCGCAACGCGGTCTAGGGATATAATTATCGAATACATTAGACGCCTAGGAGAGAGAGAGAGGGTGCTTGTGTGCGTGACTCTCTCTCGATAACATTTTGTGAGACGCAGCGATGTAGTTATGAAGGAGACCTGGGAAAACCGGCATTCGGGATTGCAAGCTGAAATAAACTGAGAAATGGATGCCTTGAGCGTTTTAATTGTGATAGCATTGATACATTGCTCACTATTTTTTTTTGATACGCTTTTTAAGGTAAATCACACGGTTCTCGTATCACGCTTTCGCTCTTGCCTCACGCTTGAAAGTTCCGCAGAAGGCCCGTTAGAATGAAATGACGTTTATAATACACGAGCGAGGATTCTCTGGACTCGAGAATTGTTATTTATAGTTGCCAGTTGTCACTGATATCCACGTTTTCTGTCATAAAATTCTTGCCATAAACTTTCAAGTAATTTTGTAACGTGGAGTGTAAATTCGTCACAATGAGGATAATTTCTGACACATTTTTCAGTCCTGCTCGCACTTTCCATACCTCTACTTCCTGGAGAACACCGGCCTGGAGATACAGATACTGAGAGTGAAATGGTTTACGACCGCTTTCAATCGTAAAATAATAAAATGGGGAATGGATCGCTCCAGGTTTTGGACCGCTTGGTTCAATGCGGGTGTCCTTATAAGCATTGTACTGTTGCCAATAGCTGTTGTCATTATCTTGAAGATGACGGTCAACATGTGGCTAGCTGGATCCTCGAGTGACACTAATTCAGGAGTTATATTAGAACCTATGGTAGATTATAATAAAGATATATTTATGAGCCTGATACTTTTCAATAATTTTTAGTACACAGGGGTTTTATAGAAGCAAAAGAACTAATATATTCGAGAGTTTAGCTTTATACTTTTTACTATAATACATTTGAATTTTTAACATGATATATAATTAAGCATAATAATAGATTTTAAGAATCTTTCATATCTTTAGTCTAGTTTTTTGTACAATCTTTGATAATTCTTTATGTTTTAGTTACCAGGCGTGGATGTTCCTTTCAATGAAATTGGCTATTATGCAACGACATTAGCAATATGTAGTATAGTTCATGAACTAGGGCATGCCCTTGCTGCAGCGAGAGAAGATGTACAGCTATTTGGTTTAGGAATCTTGATTGTTTTCGCAATTCCAATAGCTTATGTGCATATAAGCAATGAACAATTAGTTGCATTGCCATTAAGAAATCAATTACGTATTGCGTGCGCAGGAATTTGGCATAATATTATTCTTGCTACAATAGCTGCAGCAATTCTTGTATTTTCCACATGGCTGTGGGCACCGCTCTATAATGTTGGCTCTGGGGTTTATGTGAAGACTATTCTGCCTGTAAGTGATCAAAACAAAAGAAAGTTATTAAAATACATTTTTATATTATATTTTTATTTTGCTATTTGTTGTAGAATTCGCCTGTATTAGGACCAACTGGTCTTTTGGAGCGTGATGTAATATATAAATTAAACAATTGTCCTGTAAAACACAGTGAGGATTGGTACGATTGTATGGTGCACACAGTGCAGCATTCTGCTCCTGGTTATTGTGTTAAGCAATCATTTATCCAGGTAATTTTCTTAGAAGACATTTACTATTATGATTTCATCGTTTAGCGTCTAGTATTTGTAATTCTTGTTGCATCCGTATGCTATTTTTCAGGACTATGACGAGTCAGTTCCAGCTAAGCAGAAGACAAACGGTGCTGTGAATTGTTGTACAACCGACAGTGAAATAAATGGCAATCTGTGTTTCGAATATATTGAAGGACCGCAAACTGCTCCTCTTCATTTACCTCCGCATTCTTGCCTTCCAGTAAGGGCAATGCTTAATCATTCACAGAATTTCTGTCAAACTAGTCACGAATGTTTATCTCAAGATGCTCATTGTATGAGACCTTCTTTAGACAATGTGACAAAGGTAAGTAGAAGTAAATGTGTAACATATCTCTTATAATGAATAGATTTTCACATAAAGTCGTTATCTTTAAAACAATTTAAAACTGCAGATCATACAAATAAAAAGGAAAATGGACAAGGATGTGTTATTCGTTGGTCATCCGGCAGACATTTACAGGACTGTCGATGTATCAGATTGGGTGCCAAAGTATTCATTCCTGTATCCTAAACTACCTGAATCATTTGCGCTACTTTGCAAATATATCACAGTGTTTTCAGCAGGGTTGGCAATTATCAATGTTGTGCCTTGCTTCTTCCTGGATGGTCAATATATTTTAAATATAATTGTACTTTATTTATTGAACTCCATGCCACATAATAAAAATATCAGAGAAAGCACAGTACTTACAATAACAAGTATAGGTACAATACTTCTTATGACGAACTTAATGTATTTGCTTATTAATAAATTATTGTAAGTTAATTATGCATCTTCATCTTTTTCATTTATATTCTTCGTATGTGAAATCATAAAATAATCTTACCTAACCTGTCACATATCAATAATAATAATAATGCCCTTTTTGAATTTGTGTTTAAATTTACAGAAATTGTCTACGCGATACATCTTTTATATTTTAATATTTAAATGGTTTGATATTCAACTTTTGTATATTTAAATTAAACAAATATGTAAGTATTGGCTTAATGCAGTTACAAAAATTATAATTTTCTAAAATTTGATATATTACTAGCTGTCGGATAAATGTTTACAGGAAAGAAAATTTATACCTATTTTTATTTTGTCGTATTTGCCTTGTTATTTATCACGAAAAAATTTTTTTTGACAATATAAGAAAGACTCGCGTGTATAAAATGCTAAAATTTGTTATCGTTTTGCCGCTCCATCCGCGTCCAATGCTGAAAAGAATATTTATATTGTAGAAATGTATGTATTTTAAAAAGTATATAAAACTAATAAACAATGTAATAGGAAACTGTAAATTATTGCCTGTCCAGTGATTTAAGTCACTTGGAAAACTTACTGTTAACTTACGTAAAGATATTTAATCTTTGGAAGGCGAACGTTTTGGATCACTTCTGACCCATAGTAAAGTTTCTCTTGTATGTGTAGCAAAATTAACTTTTTATATGAGAATGTAATTTTGTTCTTTTTTCAAGAATGGTAATAATACGTAATAATTTGTTGATTTGTCACTTCTGTACTTTCAGACATTATGACTATTTTACTGAAGTTCTTTCTGAATAAAATTTGTCTTTTCTGATCGCTGCTGTGCTGAATACTGCCTATAAAATGCTTTCTTTGGCTGCACGCGAGTTGCCTTATCTCTTCAGACAAAATAGGGAGAAGGAGAGAGACTCAAGTTACAAGACTCCTCGAGGCTACGGTCAACGTGACGCTACAAATGCTTCAAAGCAGTCCTCTTCTCTTTTCTTTCGATGAAGAAAGAAGGAGAAGAAGAACGCTCTAAAGCATTTGTAGCGTCATATTGACCGTAGCCTCGGGCTACGGTCAATATGACGCTACAAATGCTCGAGTCACACAGTCTAAACAAAACAGAGTCAAGGTAGGGGTCACGAGTGACTCAGAGTGATTCAACGTCCACCTTCCAAAGGTACATCATAGGCTGAATTCTCGTTAGCGTTATCAGTACTTACTTTTTCCATCGCAAGCAACAATTTTTACTTTATCTACTATCGCAACCTCCTGAACCTCACGGAATTCAACGTCATTTAGCATAAAAGTCCATACGTTATCACAAAATCTATACGTGTTTAATTTGCCAGCCTGTAACAAGTCAATTTGTTTAAGTCAGATTCTTTCCAAATGCAATAAAGTCAAGCAAGAAAGAATTATTCAAATATAACGACTTACCTTAAATGTAAGTCTCGACTTAACCCTCGTTGCTAGAGCTTGATTAATAGCTTTGTCAAATTGCAGCAACACCTTTATTGCGAGCTGTGGCGTTATTTGTCCATACTGGAATATATATTATCACTATTAGATAAAATCACGAAACAACAAAGATGCTTTCTAATCCAATTAGATGTAGTAAAATCGCAATTTTTAATTAACAGAATTTAGTTTTATTTTCATAAAGAATACATGAGAATCTATCGCAAGCATTACGTTTTTCGATTTTGTAGAGCAAATGAAATTTATTACAGCACGTAAACTCAGCTAACGTAAATTGTGTCATCGTTCACGCGAAACAAATTTAATTTTTCTACGTATACGGCCTAAAATGTCAAATCTAACCTGTCTTACGGTATTATTACACATTCACCTGTATCAGCTCGTCGAGACTTTCTTGCAACGTGTTACCTAACGTTGTGTTTCTATACAGCTGGTAAGACATTCTTGAAAAAATGTCTCGTAATAACGTGGAGAGTAATAATTCCCGATCGTGAAGCGTCTACCATCAACAAACAACAATCTCTTCGCATATCAGTTCTGACGCTGTCTGACGCATCCGATGCAGTGCCTGTGCAGTGCTGTCGTGGCTCGTAACGTAAAAACGAGCGCACGCAGCGCGGCGCATGGTTATGAAACCGTTAAAGTTATATTCCAGACGAATTTATTCAAGTCACATGAAGCGTACACTTGCGCAAATGAATCAATTGCATGGCATTTGGTACATACAAATGCGACGATACAGCGTTTCTTTCGGCAATGTGATTGTTTTTTTTTCTCTCTCTGTCATTACTTACGTGTGTGTGTGTTCACGCAAAACCGTCTGAACAGGACTGTACAGACACGAAGCGACGACCAATCACCTCTCCCACGACGTAATTTTGAACTCGAGTTTCGGCCTGAAAGGCGGGAAAAGTTCCGCATATATGTATGGTTGTTTATACAAATACATATGTTAAATAAATTATTGCAGTCATTTCACTGTTTATAGTAAACTGTTTTCTAATATCTAGCTATAAAATTATAATAATGTTATATATTTATACAATAAACATCCGCAGTAATTAGTTTGCGTTGACAGTTCTGATAGCTAGGTAAAAAACTTTTTATATATAATTATATATATTATATATATATATATATATAATTCTTTTTCTGGCACAAAGCACTCCTCCTCGTCGTAGCACAAACGCTGAGCTATTATCTCTTTTCGCCGAATCGCGCGAATGCTGATTCGCAGGTAATTATATATTAACCATAATTTCTCATTATTTATTGCAAAAATTGCAAAATGACATAACGACTGTTCTATTCAGTTTGACACAATCCATATATTGACCCTTCACACTTTGGCTTTGTCAAACATTACCGGACACCTTGTATACGAAAAATTTAATTTTTTCCCGGGCATTTTCCATGTTTTGATCCTCAACGAACTTCACGTTGCAGTCATATTACGCCATTACGTGGCACGCAGTCAAAGCGGTTGCATGGTAAATCGCGAAGTCACGTTCAAGTTGTTCCGTCATTTTATATTTATCTATTAATTGTTACTGGCTAAAATAAGTGATTCTCGCGCTCGTGAAAGATTACCGCGAATGTGAAAAACGTATTAAAACGTCGTATACAATCATCTATTAATACGCCAGCAACGATTATTCATACGTGTGAAATCGATCGAGATCGCCTTCGCGTATCTTACTGTTTCGCTCAAGTGCAACGAAAAGCCGTAATAGCCTCACGATAATCAGCAGGTACGTTTGGAATGATTATCTTCGACCAAGCTTCTAATATCTATTGAAACATTTCGAATTTTATTTCTGCTCCAAACAGCAACTTTTCATTCGTTCCAATTGTATGTACTTGTCTTTCCTACTTGTCCCCCCCCCCTTAATTTATTCTTTTCACGGAAACATTTAAGATTTCGTATCTAGTGAAATTAAAGAACGTACTCGATTAACCTGATTGGGGGGGGGAGGGGAGGTTCGCCGTTCCGAAATTCCTAGATCGCACCTGCTGCACCTCGGCGGAGCGCCAGGCGGAGCAGGGCTGCAATTTCGGATCGTAGTCGCAGTTACGCCGTTACGGGACCGTCGTGTCGCGATGGAAATCGTAGAATCGAGCGAATTCGAATTGCTCCGCTATTTTTCGCGATTATCACGTTCTAAAAAGTGAACCCCGCGCAAATGGAATTATCGCGAGTGTCTTCGAATCGTCGGGCGTTCGTTGTAACGATCGTACATAGTTGTTATTATATTCCAGTTATCGCAACTCCGGTATTCGATAACTCGACTCGACACGCGATCGACGCCAAACGAAATCCACGTATATCTCATGCCGTTATCTCCTCGCCGAGATGCTGTGAGAGTAGAATTGACGTTCGATCGTCGCCACAGGTATGTGTACAATTTGTTATGACGTAACTGTATTATTGAGTTTATTTCGTTCCTTCTCTTCAAAGCTACCCAGACAGCATGCATGCGTCCGAAATCGGGACATAAGACGTCTAAAAGACATGTTTTATACATCTTTTAGACGTCTTACGAAATAATGGCTAAAAGACGTTTTAAAGACGTCTCATGTCCCAATTTTGAACATATGGTGCTGTCTGGGTAAACATACACTGTTAAATATTATAAAGGATAAAATTATTGAACCAATACCTTGAGTTAAATAACATTTTGTTATTTTCAACTACCATGTGTGTCGAATTCTACTATTTTTATACAAAAGAGTAATATTTTAACTCCATTTGTATGTTTAAATTAACATTGCTTTAGCTAAATTAATGACATTGAGTTATAATAGGAACAGTGTGTGGCGATCTATATATATAAAGTTGAAAATGACTCAAATTGAGTTTAATTTGACACTATAAATTTATAACAGTATATGTATATTTAATTATGTTTCATGTTAAGTTGCTAGATATAAATATTTAGTTGAAGTCTGAAAATAATTTTCTAAATTTGTCGTCTTATTATTTTATGTTACATGCATTGATAAGGAGTGTTTTCGATTTACTGACACATAAGTCGATCCAAGTCTCGTTCTGTCTTTGTTACTCGTTGAATACCAAGAAAGATAGAACGACGTCTGTGCCGACTTGTGTCGCTTATAAATGGAAAGCACCCTGCACCCCCACGGATCACCGCGATTAGTTCGCTTCTCTTTAGCGTTCCGAATATTTTGCGCTTTAGCAATTGTCGATAACTTCAGCTATCGTGGCAGATCGGAGTAAGTTGCGGAACGCGCCGCGAGCCGCGAGTGCCGCGACGGGAGTCGCGGAGTGTCCGCGAATTCGCTCCATCGCTCCGTACTTTTCGCGATTTGTCACGATCTAAAAGTAAGTCCCGTGCGAATATAATTATCGCGAATGCCACCGTAACGTCGCGCAACATCGTGTGTATAATCGTTATTGTGCCAATGCCAATATCGGTGATTGTCGATGTCTGTCAACAGTGTCAACGCGCGCGCGCGCGCGGAGTCGATGGAAATGCCTCGCGTACCTCGGCGCCATTACTTTCGTCCCGAAATGCCGCAAGGAGCACAACTCGTGCGTGATAATCGTCAGGTATGTTGTTTGTTCATTCATTCTGGTAATGTAATTAGCCGCATCGATTACATCTGTTAGCGGTGGCTCGCTATCTCGACGATATTCCGAACGAACTTTTCATCGCACGGTAACGACATGTCGGGTGGCCTCGAGTGAGGCAAAGTTTCTATTGGCTAATGATAGTACGGCTTGAATTTCGCCGCGCAACTTCGCGCCGCGTCGAGAAGCCGTGCGTTTGCGCGGCGAATATTGCGAAACGGGCCATTCTTATCGACATTGCCTCTCGCCGTCTCTCTCTCTCTTTCTCTGTCTCTCTCTCTCTCTCTCCCTCCCCCTCTGCGGCCCGAATTTCCAGAGTCGAGGTAATCCCGGGTTGACGCAACGGGGAGAGAATCAAATCCGTAGTCCGTACGAGGCGGGGAGAAGCGGGGGAGGGCGAGGAGGGAAGGGGTGAGGGAGAGGGTGAGTAAGAGCGTAGGGATAAATCTAACGAGGTAACTCGTACGCCGATTGCCCGTAATGTTTATGCTCCTCTGACTCGCAAGCGGCTGCTTTTATAGAAAGACAATCACGACTATCTCGATTTATGCGCCCATAGAGAATGAACGCAGGTGGGATTACTTATTGCGAGTGTTTTAATTCTTTCGTTGCGAAATTGTCTCCTGCAGTTGTTAGATACGAGTATTATTTAGTAAATTTAGTTGAAGTCTGAAAATAATTTTCTAAATTTGTCGACATTTTTTAAATCTTGTAGGAGAAATCTTATTTTAATTAATTCAAATTCTGGCGAATATCGTTAGAATTATTATCCTCACAGACCACATTTATTTTTTGCATACTTGGTAAGCCGCACTGGGATCTGGATGATCCCAGCCATTTTTCGCTCATAAGTTTCGAAAAAATCAACTTATTGTAATGTTTTTCTTTTAAATCAAAATTTGTAAAAAAAAAATTATTACCAAAAATACGCATTAAAATTAATATAAATGATTGTTTCGAACTGAGAGGCTCCAGTGTGGCTTTTGAGGGTTAATGATATAAAAAAATATTTTAGACAACAGTTAAAAAGTTTTGATTCAAGCATTTTTTTATATTATTAATAATTTTGATAACTTGTGAATTATTCAGAATGAGATATCTCGTAATCTCTTTATAAACTGTATACACTTGTAGTTTTCCCCGTTATTCGAAAGTAGAACGTTCCTATTAAATCTGTAACCCGAAGAAGCGTAAAGCGAAGAAGCAATTACCACGGGAAAAATTTGTTTCATAAAAGCGAAAATTTTCTTCGGATTTCTTCCGGTTAACGAAAATAGGTACTAATGTAGGTCTTACATAAAAGAACGAAGTGGCGTAAAGTGAACTTTCGAAAAGCGGGGGATACTCTTTGGGGGATATAAATTATTAACTTGCGAGTTAAAAAAAGTTAAGTGCATATATCGTGCGTAAAGCATATAAAACTAGTCTTAATATTTCCTGTTAGAAGATAATTAATTTTAGTAACAGTAAATTATTTTATTTTATGTGTTATACTTTTAATTATTTTACTTTCTTTAATTTTACTCTTTTGTAATATATTAATTTTAATACAAATGTATACATTATTGCACAGGTGGCAAACCTTATTAATTTCACTGATAACGTACATAAATTTTGATATTTAAAAGAATTAAGCCAGAAAATATTTAACTTAGTGTAATTTAATTAGGTAAAATGTAACAAATGAAATTTGCAATATAATTAATATTAATACTATACGTCACGTGTGTTAATAACACGGTACTAATTATATTAATAATACGATACGAAAAAGAGGAAAAAATTATATTCTTTATTATGCTAACAATAATACGATATATTACAACCGATACTGTCGAAAGGTGAAATTAGTGGAAAGTTTTCCAGTACGTCGCGTAGAAAAATTTAATTAAAATTAATTGCACAATATTTCGAGCAATTTTTAACGCAAGCTGCGATGTAATTTTGCGTCGACGCGAGTCGTGGCAGGATCGTTTTCTTCTTTTTATAAATTCGCACGCGTGTTGGGTGAAACGTAAATATGAGAGCCCTTATAGCTATCCGTTCGGTTCAAATACTCGAGTAATTACCGGCGGAAAGTTCGGCTTGCGTGCGAAACTTTCCTCGGTAAAAGAGGCACAAAGCCTCTTGAGCCGGAAATGAATAAGCAGCTCCCATGAACTTGGCGCACGTAAGTGTAATATTTGTTTCGCTGCGTACCAGGTGTTTCGCTAGATTTATTAGTACCGATCATGGCTTTTAAACAATTTGCAAATCAAAGCTTAGAATGCGCTATTTCTTCATACAGATCACTTTGGTCACTCGATCTTTACGGGAAATATACATAACAGAGTAACTTACTTCCGTTGTCAGTAGCAAAATTTTCAACGAGTTTGTAATCATATTTTTTCATCATAAATGTTGATGCATGTTGATAAACAACACTATCAATTACATAGAAATTAAAAAAACAAGGTACTAATTTTAAAGAGAGGTATTGGAATTATATTAAATTTAAGCAGATAGAAAATTAATTAATTTAACGTAAATTAATAGCGGCAAACAATTTCTTAAAGAAAAACTTGGTCGATTGGACGAGTCGAGATAATTTAAAAGATACAAAAAATGCTCCAAAATAGAATGGCTATATATGTTACACAAAAAGGAAAAGAATGATTTGGTTTTTCATAAAGGAAAGATTATAGCTTCGTGAGTTTCTTCGCGGTGGAAAGAGAGACAAAGTTCGAAACGACGTCGCTCGTGTAGAACGTGAAGGTGCTGGCGTTATCGTAGAACGAGAATAAGAAGTTAAGAAAGAGCAGGATAAAAAAGATCTTCGTAGCGGGAAGGGCGGATGATGGGAGGGGGCGGGGGCGGGGGCGCCTATGGTCCACTGGAAGGTCCCGTTTGTGAAGGAGAAAACGCGAAACGGGGGAGAGGTTGACTTTTTGGTGGCCGTGCGAGCAAGATAGTCTCATCGATCGGATTCTGTGCGACGTGGGAGCGCAATGAAAGGCATCTTTAAGAGTAGTATAGCGAGGTCTATAATAGGGGGCGAATGTGGACGTCGACGAAAGATGGAGGTCGCGCGCGCGAGCGCGGGGTAAAATCCCTCCGCGTGACTATTTATGTAGCTCGCCTTTCAGAAACTTTGCAAGAACAATTTATTATACGGATATACGTGCCATTTTTTTTTTGGCGGGTGGGGGGTCAAAACTTTATTATGACACTGAGAACTTTATCTACGACTAGGGGAAACCGGTTTCTTTTATCGATAACGGGACGGTTAAGCCGGATATAATCTCAAGGAAGTCGAAACGGAAACATCTTTAATAACTTTTATGAATAATATGACAAATGTGTGTTTATGCAGTCTTTTTATTAGCGAGATATTCAATATAATATAAAATTATGGAGATAACGTTAAAATATATACGTAAAACGGATTATCTTTATTAGGTCAGTATTTCTATTAATTTTTAATGAGTGATTTTTTAAATTAATATATAATCAGTATTTTATTGCAAATATTAATGTTTTTTTTATAACTAATTGATATTCAATAACGTCAATGTAATAAAGTTTTTCATCGACTATTTATTCAAAAAACATAAGTAAACAACATCCAGTAAATATATATTTAAAAATAATAGAAGAGAAAAAAACAACAAATTATTTCATCCGATGATTTTAATAATAATTGAAGAAAAACTACTAATGCATTTTTTAAATTTTATTTGGAAAGAGATTTTCTTTCTAAAAAGTTTTCCTTCCGTTTCTTACAAAATCAATTTTAGTATGTTGTTACATTTCGTTAGTAAGACTGGGGCATTAGGTCAATACTTTTAGAAGTTAGACTTGATCTATAAACTTAGTGATTTGATTAGATGATAGCAATGTCGTTGGGATAGGCCAAACTCACAGAAGCTTGTACTTGTAATTGGCTAAATGGAATGTACCATTTACGTATACAATAGTGAGAAAAGGCATAGCAATAAGAAAATTCATTATTACATAATTTATTGCACTGTATTAGTAGGTACTGGATATTTATTAAAATTGTTGCATTGATGATAAAATCCAAAGTAATATCATGGTAATTCTTTTTCGTAATTTAGATAATCATTTTCGTTTCTTTTATAATAACTCGGACAAAGAATCGTTATCGTTCTGATTGTGAAATAATTATGGCAATTGCTGGAATTAGAAGAAACGATTATACGGAAAACGAAACAAAATCCACTTGTTACATTGCTGATTTGCTTGAAGTTATATATACCAATTCTATAACCGTATTAGAGGAAAAAGGGCAGACAGGAAGGAAGGAAGGAAGAAAAGGAAAAGAGATATTAGTGAGAAGGAAAGAGAGATTTCCGAGTGGCGAAAGAAATAAATGAAACAGTGATTGAGAAGGAGCGAGTGGGCGAAATATATAAGGTGTATACATATGCACAGAGATTACATCGAATATGTATTAAGTTTTTCGCAAAAGCAAAATTTGCGCCATTTTTTAAATAAAAATTAAATCAACTATCCTTATTAATAATTTTCAATTTTAACATTAAAAATGCTTGAATCTATTAATTATTAATTTTATTAAAAACTTATTTCTTGAAGTGCAATTCTTAAATGAGATTTCATTATCTATTTATACTTTTGAAGTTTAATTTGTTTCAACCATTATGCACATATAAAATTATAATCAATTTTGATAATTACGAATACACATACACATATGTATGTAATTCTTAGTTTTTTATAATTCAAAAGCGATTGTTGCTTCGATTTTGAAATTATTACTATTTTCTTAATTCTACTGCTTAAATTACGCGTTAGGATTAGGACACCCTATAGGGAGAATAGCGGTAAGCGTCGGCCGTTGCCAAGGCAATGAATCGCAGATTGACGCAGGCGTCGCGACGTCCGGTCGCGCGCGCCCATCACCGTATTCCACCCTCTCTTTCTCCTGCCGAAGCGTGCCACTGCCTAAAGCGTGCACC